TAAACTTTATGGTTCTAGAGCGTTCGAATGAGTGCGCTTTTTCGGATTCAGGCTTCACATCCGCCAGAAGGGTAGTGGTTAAGGACCGTCTGACGGATTTACAAAGTAAAGCCTGAAGGATGGGCGCAAACATGCCCCCGGCCTTGAAAACACAAGATTTTAAAACACAAGTTTGAACATACAGAAATAACGAAATATATACAGGTACATAAAGAATTATGATTTTACACACATAAGCTAACAACATACAATAACATCCAACACACATCAACACAAAGCTCACTGGGTTTGTTCACTGTTCACTGACTGCGGATTCACTGAAACTGGCAGTGGACACAACTTCCAATGAAGGGGAGGTTGTTTGTCGTCTTTCAGCAAAACAAGGGTCCCTGGTTTCAAGTCGGAATGGTGCGAGCGCCATTTGGTTCTTTGCTGTAACTCGGATATGTATTCTTTGCTCCATCCCATATGCGTTGATGAAATTGTTGAACGCGTTGGAATCTAGACAATCGAGGTTCCGCAATGCCTGTTACATCCGGATCTGGTAGCGACGTAAGAGGCCTCCCAATCAGAAAGTGAGCTAAGGGTTGGAGATCGTTTGGATCAGAAGAGAGTGGGGAAAGAGGTCGGGAATTCAATGTAGCTTCCACTTGAATTAGCAAGGTGCAAAACTCTTCATATGTGACAATTGAGGTACCCAATACGCGCTTCAAATGGTGCTTAGAAGCTTAATTCCGGCTTCCCATAGCCCACCAAAGTGAGGACTATGAGCAGGAATAAAATGCCAACTAGTTCCATCGTTAGCGACTGTTTTGCTAATTTTGGAACCATGATCAATTATAAATTTAGACAGCTCTATTAGCTCCGGCTTCGCGCCAACAAAATTTGTGCCGTTGTCTGAATAAACTTGTGCAGGTTTACCGCAGCGGAAAACAAATCGACGAAAGGCGAGGAGAAAGGTCTCCATGGATAGATCAGTAGCCAACTCAAGGTGAACCGCTTTTGTCGAAAAGCACACGAATAAGCACAAATAAGCTTTCGACACTTTGCCACCTCGACCCTTATGGGTTTTTATTTTAAAGGGACCCGCATAATCAACCCCGGTATTGTAGAATGGAGGAGATGGTGTGACGCGAGATGCAGGTAAGTTGCCCATGATGGGGCTAGGAAACTTTGGAGAAAATCTGGAACAGCGCACATAAGGACAAACTGTCTTCCTTACAAGGTTTCTGCCAGATATTATCCAAAATTGTTCTCTCAAAGACGATAGAAGCAATTGAGAACCTGCATGCAGTAATCTGAGGTGCTCGTCTCTTGCGATTAGAGTGAACAAATGGTGCTTACCAAAAAGAATAATAGGATGCTTACTTTCATCAGACAAATTTGAGTTTTGCAATCGGCCACCGACTCTTACAATTCCGGTAGAAGCTGTGAAAGGATTGAGGCCTATAAGAGGGGAACCCGCTTTTAGAGGAGAGCGCAATAACAACTTTAACAACTGTTTAATATAATCGGGAAAAGATTAGCGTTGGGAAAGTTTTACCAAACACATTAAAGCATCATGTTGTTCAGAAGAAGTTAAAGTGCCAATAGATCGATTGGCTCGCGAAACCAAACAATTGTTGCAAAAACGGAGACATCATCCAACAATCTTCTTCAAAGGTTTTAACTTTGAGAAATCAGAAATTGGAAGACCCGTTGTCAAAGAAACTGCAACACAGCTAACTTCCGTTTTGAACTCTGGAA